AATCTTGTCATTCATCCTTACCCACATCAGAGCCACCCAATCTTGTCATTCATCCTTACCCACATCAGAGCCACCCTATCTTGTCATTCATCCTTACCCACATCAGAGCCACCCTATCTTGTCATTCATCCTTACCCACATCAGAGCCACCCTATCTTGTCATCCATTCCATACCCACATCAGAGCCACCCAATCTTGTCATCCATCCTTACCCACATCAGAGCCACCCTATCTTGTCATTCATCCTTACCCACGTCAGAGCCACCCAATCTTGTCATTCATCCTTACCCACATCAGAGCCACCCTATCTTGTCATTCATCCTTACCCACATCAGAGCCACCCTATCTTGTCATTCATCCTTGCCCACATCAGAGCCACCCAATCTTGTCATTCATCCTTACCCACATCGGAGCCACCTTTCCTCTCTGTCATCCATTGTCCAGATGTCCAAAACTTGGCTGGATTTCGAGATGTCAATCGTGGATAAGCACGGCCCATCAACACTGGATGTTGTTCTTTCTACAAATTCAATGTTGGATAAGTCTGTAACTGCACATGAATGGCTTTAAGGATCAACAACACACATTTGAATGGGACTCATGTGAATACTGTCATGCTGGTTCCAGTTCAAAAGCCACACTTACGGTACAATTATCGATAAAACACAAAATAAATGCACATACTGCTTCTCTCATTTCTGTCAGAGGAAATTAAAACATTTGCATAAACTCTGAAGACTACATTGCTAATTGTTATGCATATCAAATGACGATGAATCTTCAAACATTAATATATGTACAGCCATCTCAATCGAATCCCTGATATTATTTAAATTGAGTCCCTGAGAAAAATTTACTGTGTATTCACCTCATTTAGATTAAATAATGACCTCATTTACATATCGAGGTAATACAGATGAATATTGTATCACAGGGAAATATAGACTCAGAGTTTATTGATTACATCAAGTCTCGGGAGTACTTGAACAGTAAGTTAGCAAACTTGCTGACTACTTCGCTGAAAACTTTGGTCTTGACCAAAACATTTTGCATACTCCAGTTCTGTAAAATCTCATAAACTTATTAACAATATGGATTTTTAGTTTTTTTTTACTAGCTCTTGGTGGTGACAGAATGAAGAGTAATATTCAAATCATAGTTAATCTCCTTATAATCAAAACTAAATTAGTTGTTGAATTAGTGAGCTTGTTATCTACTATATTTTCCTGGTGATAAACCAAGGGGTCTCAATATGTGAAATCAGTAAAAGTAAAGCATTGGCATATACCAGAGAAACAACACTAAAAAGATGAAGAATTTTATTTAACATTGTAACCACATTCCCCTGCCAAAAATAATCTCAATGACAATAATTTATTCGCCATTCTGGATTAGAAGGAATATTACATCTATTTTGCTGTAAAGTGAATATGATTGCGTATTTACCTTTGGGATCCTGTCAATAACCTGAGCAGCACCATCAGTCATCGCCAACGGACACGTGTACAATCCAGAGGATGACGAAAATAGATAGAGCTTTGCAATCTGATACAAACGACTGAAAAAAAAAAATAATTAAGTTCTTAAGGATACTACATCACATGTATGTTCTGTGGCTTAAATTACATAATATTGCAGTCAGAACGACAGAATAAGGTATTAATAAAGTACTGGCTTCCATAATACAAACACATCACCTATAAAGATCACCAATATTTAAATATGTGAGGTTTTTTTCTCACATGATGTGAATTGAAGTATTTAAGTTTCAAGTACTGGTAATTACTAGTCGTATCAATCAGGCTATTCCTTGAATCAAAAAGCATGCATATGTTCTTACCTCCATGGTCCATGTTCTCGTTCATACGCTATTGCTACTAGACCTTCGTCAGCCGATATGTCATGTAATTGCTTCCATGCAGGGCATGTTATCAGTTCGTCTATACGGTTCCCCCATGCATCAAAGTGTTGTACTGTTGGTTGATTCAGTTCGCATTGTCTTCCGAGTTGATAGATGTCGGTGGCGACACGTTGACCAAACCGTTCTAGATCTGGACTGAACTGATCTAGAATCTAAAGTATGCATAAGCAGAGATACATAATTATATTGTATATCTCAATGACTGCATAGAATAGAGGAAATCTGATTTATTAACCTTTTCACCATCAGTACTCGTTTATTGTCCCGTTTATAGTCTGCACTTCCCTTCAGAAGTTTGGGAGTAACATAGCCAAACTTTTTGAGAAAAACTGAAAATTTATCCAAACTTTGTCTGTTGGCTCACATGGTTGGCTCTAAAATTAAAGTTCATTTCCAGAAATATTGTAGAATAAGACGAAAGTGCAAACAAATTTGGGCAGGAAAGACTGGTGGTGAAAAGATTAAACTGGTATAGTAAGCCTCACAACAAATAAAAATTACTAATAATTACTATACACATCAGACATGATTTTCTGGTATAGTAAGCCTCGCAACAAATAAAAATTACTAATAATTACTATACACATCAGACATGATTTTCTGGTATAGTAAGCCTCGCAACAAATAAAAATTACTAATAATTACTATACACATCAGACATGATTTTCTGGTATAGTAAGCCTCGCAACAAATAAAAATTACTAATAATTACTATACACATCAGATATGATTTTCTGGTATAGTAAGCCTCACAACAAATAAAAATTACTAATAATTACTATACACATCAGACATGATTTTCTGGTATAGTAAGCCTCGCAACAAATAAAAATTACTAATAATTACTATACACATCAGATATGATTTTCTGGTATAGTAAGCCTCACAACAAATAAAAATTACTAATAATTACCATACACATCAGACATGATTTTCTGGTATAGTAAGCCTCGCAACAAATAAAAATTACTAATAATTACTATACACATCAGATATGATTTTCTGGTATAGTAAGCCTCGCAACAAATGAAAATTACTAATAATTACTATACACATCAGACATGATTTTTAAGGTGAGCAAAATTTTGAACGTTCTTGTTTTTTATTCTACATAAGAACGTTTTTTTCAACACATTGAAATCAATTTTTAAATAGCAAGGCCTGACACCTTTAATAAATCTGATATTGTATCACAAATTTGATATTCTGTTTATACCATATACCTGTATTCATTTCACAGCAACAAATGTACATGTAATTTGCTAGCGTATATTGCATACTGTGAAATATTTTCGCTTGGAATTAATTTTCACTAATTTTTGCTGAAGGAGTGATTCAGTGAAAATAAAATCCACTGAGTATACCTTTTTTCCTATATTTTACATTCAACTCGCCATAAACCAGTGAAAATAAATTCCATACAAAACATCCAATGAAAATTAATTCCAGGTAAAGTTAAGTATTTTACAGTAAGGAACTCTAATTAATGAACAATGATTACCATTACTTTACATTATTGCAATTAGGAAATATAGTCATCTTTAAAGCCATCGATCACTATATTGACAGTTTTCATTAGCAACATTAAATATGTTGGGAGAATTTGAATTTATTTTTACACATGTTTTATCGGACATCTGAAACTACCAGAAATGTTTGTACTGATCTAATAATAATAGATGAAAAAGATTGGTATAGGATACGTCTGTGAATTAGTACAGAGTTCCCCTTATGTCATGAAATGATCTGATCCAATCAAATAGACTGCCATCCAACGTACATGTACATATACATTTCAAGAACAAGTTGAAAAATAGCATATTTTTACTAAAAATGACAAAAATATTTGATAACATTATAAAAAATCTAAATATATGCTCAAAACAATTAGAGGTCCACCCAAGGTACATGTATACCAATTATCAAACTAATTGAGTTGGGATAAAAGTTTCTACTCTGGACGGACGGACGGACTGTTTTGGGGCCAGAACGTCCAAACCAGGGCCGGAACGTCTTTTTTTTACCAGGGCCGCAACAAACCAGGGCCGGATCGTCTAGAAATTTGACAGACGGACGAACGGAGACCGAATTATACAATTATAAATTGAGCGTTTTGAACTTTGGCGTTCGAATGGGGAATAATAACTTAGCTACTGTGATCACCATATCGATATTCTCACCTTTTCAGGGACAACCCGCTTCAGATACGCTCTGAGTGCAGCATCGCCCAAATACTGATTTTCAAGTTGTGCTTCCGCTTGGAAAAACGGACCTCTTTTTGCTCTGGCGAAGGGCAATGTTTTGGCTCGATCGTCAATTGTTGTATTTTCCGTTTGAACAGTGGCAGCAGTACTCTTCATTCTGATACGACTAAGCGTACGAATACCGGAATACTTTAGTCGGTTCATATTTATCACAGTTTAAGATTAACAGATATGGTATATAATACTCTGAGCTCGTCCGAGAAACCTACCAACGAACCTAATCACGCAGTTCGCCCTCTCTGTTGTTGTTTGTAGTTCCCAAACTCTAGAGGGCAGTTTGTATTCAGATGCCATAGACCACTTTCCCGGAAGTAGCGAGACTGGGGTGCAAAACTACTCCTGCTTTGTTATAGCTGAAAATACAAACATGTCAGATTGCTGATAGTCGATAGAAGGGAATCCTATTTTTGTGACAACGATTGGTGCACCAAAGAGCATAATATCATCCATGCAAGTTTACGTTACATACCAAAACGACATGCGAAACGCCGTATCTTCGACTTCCGGGAAAGTCGTCTATTCTCGAACAGGGGCGTCCGGGTATAATACATTTTACTATAAAAGTAGTCTGAGACCACTTCAAGGTCTCGAGAAAATCAATTTTTAAATTTGAATAAAAGCTGATGAACAGTATTCACAATTTTTTATGAATTAAAATAACGATTTTCTGCCTTCCACGATATCATCACATTATTATTAAAGAATGAATTCGTCTTTACAAATATTTATAAATTTCAATGGTACTTGAATCAAACCAGCCAATCAACGAGCGCAATACGCAAAAAACATCATTCGAAAACGTTTCAGTGTTATTCAATGGAAATCTCTCATTTCAGTTTGAATTGTGGAGTGTATTCTGGTTGCTCTTGTAAATACATTTATTCTTGAGCATGCAATATTACAATGTAATGCAATGTCCCAGGAATGTTCGATAATAGTTAGAATCGACTGTGGTCAGCTCCACTAATAATTGAATAGTCAAATTTGGTTGACATCATTGACATCAATGGTCCTGGGCGTGTTCTATGCCATATAAGGTCACATAGAACGAGAATGTAGAGTTTTCATTTTTTGCGGGACAGCGAAAGTTGTGCATCATTGCGAAAGTGGAGTTATTATTGACGGCTTTTCGTCACCGCAGTGATTTATATACTAAATTTTGGTTCCTCGGGAGTCTCTAATAAATAACTGAATTCATAAGATTACAAAAAAATGTATAACATTGTTCAAGTTCTTTTTTGTCTTCAATCACTGAACTGAATCTTGTCTTGCTTAAAATGTTGACAGTCTGGCTTGTCTCCTCCATGCAAGTACGTGTACAGCTAATAGTGCCAAGGTAGCACTGGTAGCGTTGGAGTTCTTGGCACTATCATTATAGAGAATTATAGTTACATGTATTATAAACTACATTTAATTTTCGATTCTTGGAATTCTCGCCACCTTGGCACTGTGAAGACAGTTTCGCATAAGGAATTGGTGTGAAATGAAATAAAATTGTGTAAAGAGAAAAAAAAAGGCATTGGTGTGTCGTGAGACCCCAGCGAAGTTGTTTCTTAATTTTACGATATTCATGAAAATGTGTCTCATTGCTATATTAAAGGGGGGTAAAATGCCTCAAAATAGTGCACAAAATATGAAATTAAGCTGTGAAAACAATGAGAATATAAAATAAACTATTCTTTGTTTTATTCAAGTTGCTTTAATACATGTAAATGTTTATTTGTTTTCTTTACAGTTGCTGTAAAAACAGCCGCAGGGAGTAAGCTTTGAAAGAACATTCATTAGGAATTGCACATGTGTGTTATACAGTAAAGTAGTACCTTTGAATAAATAGTAAAGGATAATAATGTATGAATACTATGGTGAGAAATGCTTCCTTCAACTGAATATTGTGTCAGAAGAATTTTAGTGAGTTTAGTACTCTCAAATGTGAGAAGAGTTTTTTTTTTCAGTCTGCTAAATCTTATACTGCTCAAACCAACACATACATCTTAGAAGCCTTATCATTGTGACCCGTGTGACAAGCGATTTACCCAATCAAGTGCACTAATATAATGATTCATATAAGAACAATGCAATAGGAGTTTAACTCAGTCAAATCATCTCAAAGAGCATATGTGAACACATACCAACAAAAAGTCTTATTAGTGTGAGAAAAGTTTTAGTTGGTTAGGTAGTCTCAAACAGCATATGCGAACACATACAAATGAAAAGCCTTATCATTGTGAGCAGTGTGAGAGAAGTTTTACCCATTCAAGTACTTCAAAATATCATATGCGAACACACATTAAAGAGAAGTCTTATCATTGCGAGCAGTGTGAGAAAGGTTATGATTGGTTAGGTAATCTCAGCATATGCAAAGGCATGCCAATAAGAAGCGGTATTATTGTGAACAATATAAGAAGAGTTATGATATATAGAAGATAATATTTAGTAATCGTAGTCCTAAATAACTATTAAAAATAGCTAGACGTTTCAAGCAATGGCTCTTTATCGATAGCATAGAAGAAAATATTAAAACGTATTTAAGAAGAGTTATGATTGGTTAGGTAATCTCAGCATATGCAAAGGCATGCCAATAAGAAGCGTTATTATTGTGAACAATATAAGAAGAGTTATGATTGGTTAGGTAATCTCAGCATATGCAAAGGCATGCCATTAAGAAGCGTTATTATTGTGAACAATATAAGAAGAGTTATGATTGGTTAGGTAATCTCAGCATATGCAAAGGCATGCCAATAAGAAGCGTTATTATTGTGAACAATATAAGAAGAGTTATGATTGGTTAGGTAATCTCAGCATATGCAAAGGCATGCCAATAAGAAGCGTTATTATTGTGAACAATATAAGAAGAGTTATGATTGGTTAGGTAATCTTAGCATATGCAAAGGCATGCCAATAAGAAGCGTTATTATTGTGAACAATATAAGAAGAGTTATGATTGGTTAGGTAATCTCAGCATATGCAAAGGCATGCATGTGTATCCGTGGTGGTTTAATGCAACAACCACACTTATGGCCAGATGTTTGTAAACGTCACAATGCTGAAGGCTGTCATTCACAAGCGTGAGTGTAGTGCCGGATCTAGAGGTGGGTTCTTGGGGTCCAGACCCCTCCCGTTGAATAAGGTATTCAATTTGTTTTTGTATAATATAACAAAATCATTAACTTAGTCTGGCGATTTTAAAGTTTGGACCCCCCCCATAAACAAAATCCTGTATCCGCCTCTGGAGTGTTACACTGAAATACCACAGCTACGAGTATCGATTAATTACTTATACCCCATTTAATACTAGTAGTTCGACAAAAATGAGAAATTAATGCACAATCTACTTCATCCAGTTATCAGTGTAAATGTAACATTTTCATAAACACAAAATGCTCTATCCAGTGCTTTGTTGTATATATCGCGTGATGACAAAAGTCATTTCAAAATTTTTTTTAACCAAATCTATCATAGAGTAGAGGGTATAAGTAACAGTGTTCACCTCAGAAACCTGTCCCAGGGTTGCAGGTAATTTGCATATTAATTAGCATATTTGTTTCCTAATAGTGTGTACATCTAAAATGCTTCTTAATTACCAGAACTTGTTCAGTTCAATCAATTCTAGGATGATTTACTCAAGCGAGTCCACAGTGAATTTTGTCAAAACCTATTTAAGAATGTTTCAATGATGATCCGATAGGAGTTTTAACGAGGTCTCTCTTTCGGGTTTACACTATTGTCGTCACGTTTCGTGAGCTTCTTAATCAAAACCACGCCGCCGATTACAACACACAGTGCCAATAATCCTCCGACGACGCCACCAATAATTGGAACCAAGCTGTTTTTCGATTCTTCTTTAACTGTAAGGAAACGCAATGCATGTAAGAACGTGTCGATCAGTGATTTATGTTTTGCTGTGAGCATTTGATCAGCTATGGTCAACAAATTATATTTAAACGATTAACGTGTACGATCATAAAGTGATTTGCATTGAAATATAATAATAAGTTTTTGATCGATGCAGAGTATAACTGATTGGCTCACGTCGGCACGGTATAATCTACCAGATGCTACAAAGCCGAGCCGAACCAAGACACTGCAAGCCAAGGTACTTAATTATGTTTTGAGCTGTCTGTGTGGGTTGGTGTTAATTTAGAAAATGCACATTCGGAAGGAGCTTTTAACATATAATAAATTTAAAACTGTGTTTGGTCAAGAAAAAAATATCTAAACATTGTTGACAATATATCAATCAGAACTTGTCTTTGTAAATTAAGTATCTCTCCACATAATTTGCACATTGAATCTGATAGACCATTACATAATAAAACAGAAGTTGTGTTTATTGAAACCTTTACCAAGTTGAGGATGAATTTCACTTTTGGTTGATTTGCCCATTCTATAATGCCTTGAGAATAAAACATATCCCAGAGAATTTTCTTATTTTCCCCACAATAGACAAATTCATTCATTTAATGAAAGCCACTAATGTGACTGTTGTTAGAAACCTTGCCAAATTTATTTGTTATGCAACTAAGAAACGTAATTCAACAAGATAGATTTTTAGTATTATTGTATTACAAGTTTCTGTTTATTTGTGTTCTGGTCTGTTATCATAGTTACCATGAACACTTTAGCACAAACAGTTATTAAGCGCCCTGTAATACAGTCTTGACATATTTTACTTGTACTTATAGGCCAGTGGTCTCTGTACCTTGAATAAATAAATATATATATAATTCTTACCTGTCTCCTCATACGTTCTAGTTGTTGGAACTGTTGTAATTGTTTCCAATGTACCATCTACTATTTTGTGACTGATATTGATCGTTATTGGGAATGCATTTGTACCATCTGTCCATTGTCCACTGAGGGTTGTGGTGGAGGTGGTGGTTGCTTCTGTAGTGTCTGCGTCAGTAGTGTACCAGGCTTCATCTTTAAAGTAAAATGTGTGGTCATATGAGTAACTCGTCAGTTAGTTGGTATAGTAAACATTACTCCCTGGTTAAGTTCATTTTTTGTGTTTAGCAAAATTTTAAAAATCAAACAGTTTAGAAATATCAATTTATTGAAGAAGAGAATGGATCTTCTATCATCGAACAAGTTAATAATAAGGGATTTTGCATTCTGAAATGGAATAGTATCGATATTCAGACAACCAGATGTTCCTGGGGTGTCTTCATGCGAATGGAAATAAATAATTTCTTGTGAAACAGTTTATGCAAAAAAATGTACTCAAAGACTTAGT